AGCCTGCTGCTCCCACCACCATCGTCAGCCCTCCCTTCGCGCGCCAGTTGCGCACCCTCTACCAACACCGCCCGCAATCTGCACTCCGAGTTGTCTTGCGCCGACCTTCAACGTGCAACGTTCCTCCTCCCACGTCTTCCGACACGTCAATCTCTCCGCGATGTACATCTCAAGGTCTGCGAAGAGATGCGACCCCTCCGTGCACTTCGCAGCTGCCCCGCCACAGCTGACACGACAAACAAAGATTGCCGTACCCATACCTGCACTGGATGCGAAGACGGGTGAGCCTCCGGCGATGCTCCACACAAGCAACGGGCTCACGCCAATGTTCCCTGAGGACCTGCAAACTCACACGGTCAAGCTGTGACGTGTGTGAACACTCACGCCGTCATGATGCGTGAATACTGGCAAGCCTGGGTACGTACACACCAGCTCGAAACGGCCGCCCAGACTGCGGGGCCCGAACCCTTCGCGATTATGAATATCGTGAGGCCTCAGGAAAACAACTCACCAACCATGAGTTCAACAGGGGCAAGGCTGGACTGCCACGGTAAGTTTCGTAAGCGACGCTCCAGCTATATACAAGTAACACACAAATTCACAAAACCTGTATGTATATAGTATAGTATAGTATATAGTACAATCTACTGCTGCCATAGTCATTTCTCATCATGAATCAAAGTACATGCTAAGGTTCAAGATGATTTAAAATGCTTGGACAGCCTGAATATGGCTATCTATACCAGACAGTAGTTGATTGTATATGTAACAAAGTCTTACCAACACCCAGACTTTAGTTGGTCCTAAACAAGGATGTCCTTATGTAGTTAGGTCAGGGCTATGTATAGTTACTGACAGGTGATGATTGGTTGGATATGTGAGAAGGGTTACCAATCACCTAGAGATTAGTTGGTCCTGATCAAGGACAAACTATTTCCTATTGTCCTTGTAGTTAATGACAAGGCTTACATATATGTGTACTATCTTCAGTAATGTGTATGACTAGGAGAGTATTGACTAGTTGTCTTAACTAGTCTCCACTATGACTTGTATGCTAGTTTTCTTGTATTGATGAAGTATTCTTAGCTAGCAACCTATTGCTAACCCAGTTAGATAATATGACTTGACTTTTTGTGTACTAATTCTCTTGGTAAGTATCTTGGATTGACTGTTTAATCGGACAGTCAGAGCCTCAGTGTGTGCTACAGAGAGATAATCAGAGTTATATTGATCAGTCAGACCATTGTTTCCCAAAGCTGAACATGCAAAGAACAATGACCTTTCTTTGTCTTATTGAACCTGGTCTCTTGTTTGTCCTGAATCCTTTTGATCTTACTCCTTTGTTGTTCTCTCAATGTCCATTGCATAGACTCCAAGAATCAATAAATGAGCCCTCAATTCACTACCTCAGTGCCCTCCATGCTACCCATCTCAACCTTTGAGTCAAAGACAGTGTCATCTTCATTGCTGCAAGTGCTAGTACATCTCTGTCAATGTGGTTCTTTGCACATCACTCAGTACTATATTGCTGACCTTCAGCAATATAGGTGAGTATGAGAGTATCAACTAGAACTATTGCTTTCCCAGATGGTCAGTAAATATTGACTTGTTGTGTACTCACACTTTTGGTTAGTATACTGTGTTCACTTTGCTTGCTTGTAACTGAATCCCTGTTTGGTTACTATATTATTATACCCTGATCATTATACAACTTACTTGCATTATGCACACAATTGCTGACTTCACATTGTCACACAATCACTGCTCTTGTGATACATGATGTAAGTGTTACCTACATCTTGGTTCATTTCTGCCTTTGTTGCTCTTTGGTCTTACTGTTGTGCAAGGAAGGTATGCTCGCTCATTCCTTGCAACATTGCTATACTTCAGGCAGAAGTCTTACTGTTGTGAAGACTCTGAAGAACTCCAGTTCCTGTTCTGTTCTTTGAGTGATTTCCCAGTGTGCAGATACCAGGCTTACATTACTTCAGAGTCTGTACACAATCACTGATGTTGCACTGCAGCACAATGCTACTGTACCCATGCAATGTTACTGTACTAGTGACTGTACCTAACACTGTCCTTTATGTACCTTGCCCATCAATGATACTACCTTTATCTACTGTGGGCACATGTATGTAACCTTCAGATCGTGTGTTTGCCTTCCCACCCCAATGAGAAGACAAACCTGGGCTGACTATATCATTGATTCTGTTTTACTGCTTGCTCCACTCACAGCGGCTCACTGCTTTAAACATGTGTTATAGGTAGTATAATAGTACATTGTTATTTGATACAAAGTATGATACGTTCAGCTCTATTGCTCCAGATCTTACCATGCTGGGGGTTGCCAGCAGCTAGATATAGAGCAGAGCATCTTGTACTCATTCTGTTGAAGTGAGCATTGGCAAGGCACACAAAAATCAATCAGTACAAAGGAGTTTGTCAACTCATTTCCCACCAAAGTTATACATGTAAAGAAAAATGACATATTTGTCTTACTGAATTGAACAAGCTTTCTCGTGATATCACTCATTTGTTGTTCCTTGAAGTTGAATCAAAACAGAAATGACCATAGTCCAGTGTGAGGGTCTACTGACCATGTACAAATTTAAATGAGACCTTAAATTGCCTCACTACTGCTCTCCATACTGTCCATCTTGAACTCCATGTTGAATTGTCTTCATTGCTGTGAATGTTAGTACATTCTGTTAGTGTTATTCTTCTCATGTCAATCAGTAGTATAATCCTGATAAAAGTGAATGATGGTTTATTTGCTGATTCTAGTTGAATGCAATGCCACAAATGTCAACATGTAGCATCACTGAGTAACATGATGTTCCAGCAGTTGTCTAAATTCAATAATACTCAGACTTAGGCTAAACCTTGCCTATGAGTAGGCTTGCCACTTGAACATGCCAATCTCATCTACTTTATCACATGTGCTGTTCTGCTCACTTACACCCATGACAGTTTGATGATTGATTCCCAAGATACTCAATCCACCAGCTGATGCAATGCCTTCAGAATCACTGATGTACCCTGAGCAACTTCATGAGCATGGAAAATAGCCTAATGAATTATCAGAAGCCTATGCTAGTCCTCAACCCATTGATCTGGAGGTCATTGTAGTTCACACAACCAGGCATAGCGGTCATATTGATACATTACTAGACTGTGGTTAGAGTACGGCCGTGATACATGCACGCCTGTCGTACAGTACAGGCCTGTCGATGCATTGCGCGATACATCAGGGAATACATTACAAGGACGCTGTGATGTATTGCAGGCGACCTGTGATATATACTGCTTCAATCAATGAGCGGGATGCCAGTAGCCGGAATAGGGCTCGATAGATGAGAGACAGCCCTGTCATACATAAGCGTTGGCTACTTGCAAACGCCCGGCCTAATCTGGACGCATTCGCGTGGCTACGCGACGCTCAGATGAGCGCAAGATGTTGACGTCATTTCGCGCCTCAACGGTCCGTCACTGCAGCTCTGTCATACATAAGCGTTAGCTACTTGCGAACGCCCGGCCTAATCTGGACGCATTCGCGTGGCTACGCGACGCTCAGATGAGCGCAAGATGCTGACGTCATCAGACTTCATGCCTCAACGGTCGGCCAGCAGCAGCCCGCTCTCACCATCGGTCCGGACATCTATGTATCTTGAGTTGTTCAAAGGCTTGTCGAGCGAGAGCATGTCGAGCGACGCGCTACTCAGCACAGCGAAGCAAGCGGCAGCACTTAAGTACTCACTCACAATGAACATACAGTCGTGTTCGCTTCACGTCATCAGGCTTGAGTAAGTTTTGCTTACTGACAACGATTACGCTACATCGTCGGCGCGCGAACTTGAACAAGGCGAAGTCACTATCTGAATGATAATACATCAGTGACGAGTCTGTGCATACATAACACTACATCAGTTTGCAACTTAGCCTAGAACTGTCCAAGGCCGTGATAAATGACAGCACGACTTGTATAGTGTTGGTACTACTAAGTGATCAGCGCACCGAGTGGTAATAGATGAGAGACGAGCCTGTGAATATATTATGTAGAGTCCCGTCGTTCAGCCCTTAGACTTAGAGTCGCGACGTTGAGCGTTATACATCACATACAGGCCGGTCTGTAATGTATCATATATCAGATCTTGTATCGTTAGCCGTACATCTTACCAAGTGACGTAGGCACGCCGCATTTGGCACAGGCGCCTAGACGCTACGGACTTCGCACTTCGCTGCGATTCTGCATGAAGCGCTCGTCCTTAGCTTCACCGCCTGCCTTGTTCGTACTCGCCTTCACCGCTGGTCTCGCTTTTACCCCTGCCTCATCCCTCTGCCTTCGACTCGTTCACAAGACTCACTCATTCCAACATGACATCGGACGACTCTCTATGCGCCCGAGTCTTCGCGCAGCCTGGTCACTCACTGGCACAAACATCCGATCGATTCGAAGTTACCCGGCGCAAGACAGCACGCGATAACTGGCTCTACAACGACCGTTCTGGGCTATAGGACCTACGGGGCTACATACGACACACGAAGGCGAAGCGAACGGTGAACATGCACGGTATTCATCGTCGTTTCTTCGACCCCCGTGGCTCCTCCGCCGAGTTCCCAGTCGCCTTCCTCTTCGAAGATCCAGGGGCACGACCACCTCCAGCTGGCGTCGTCTTTCGTGTATCAGCACTCTTCTTTTGAGCCCAAATCGTAGGCCCATCAGCGCGCGTACCATTGGGTTGGAGCGGCGCACGGCGGTCCCGACGACCTCGGCCTCCCGCAACACTACCCTGGGTCTGCACATCCAGCGCCGCGTCAGCTGGTGCTGAGTTGGCTGCTGTTGCCGGCTCGTTCATCAGTGAGTCCTCTAGTTCATTTTGGTTGTTTGTCGTGGTCTGTGCTGGTGGAGGAACGGCTGGAGTAGGACTCCCAGATGGGCCGATGGGCGAGGAGTGAGTCGGCCTAGCACCGGTGTGCAAAGGCGTTCCGTGATCAGATCACTCGATAGGCTGAGTGGCGGCGCCATTGCCTGGTGCCTGAGCTGGGGTAGCAGGCAGCAAGGGGCCGGTTCGAGACGCAGCGTTAGGAACGGTAGGAGACGTGGTATCATTTCCACGCTGTTCGATGTTGAGGCGTTGAAGATAGCTGCCGGCGATCGCTGCAGACAGTGATCGCGAAGTGACCCGCGGTAGAATTGGAGGCTGGGGTACAGGGGCTTTGGACGACGTGGACAAGGCCGGCATGTTGTTGTCGGCGGAAGCGGTAGAGGCTGGGTCGCGCGATGTTACTGTCGGCCGAGTAGACTGGGTTGCAGCAGCGGGCGTAGCTGTGGCGGTTGACTGACCAAACGAAGCCGCCGGTCTCGATGATGCAGGTGGAGCAGCAGACAAGGCAGGTGGAGGATTAGGAAAACCCTGCGAGGAGGATGCAGGCGGGTCATCAGCGCGCACGCCGCGTGGTGATGTTGCTTTGGACTGAGCAGACAGGATCGCAGCGGCGGGCGTAGCTGTAGTGGTCGACTGAACAGTGAGAGTCGTCGGCGTGAAGAACGCAGGCTGGGTGGTAGACAAAGAAGGCCAAGCATTAGGAACGCCCTGCGAGGAGGACGCAGACGGGGCACCCACGCTGGGTAAAGAACCGGCGAGCCGGCTACTCGAGTGAGCATTGGACGGGAAGGAGTATGGCTGCGTGTTCCAAGCCGCAGTAGGCATCCCCAGCGAAGGGAATGCATCCTGACTGACATGGCTTGTCGTAGAGAGTGTGGCGTAACGTGCAGTCGTCGAGTTGTTGAGCTCGCGCACCCCTGACGGCGCTTCCACTTCATTAGGCTGCATGGCGTGTTGATTGAAGGCCATGAGCTCGTCAGTTAGCGTTGTTTGAGGCAGACGAGGCGGGTCTGGATTAAATTCGGAGAAGCTTCCGTAGGGGAGGTCTTTGAGGAGCGAGTAATCATACTCGTCCTCAACGTACGCGCCGGCGCTGGTGATAGCAGCATAACCATTGCCAGGATGGGCTGCGCCCTCGTTCACGATCACTTGCCCCGTCCCTGATGTGTCGCTAGTTGCTGCATTGGAGCTGGAGGCCCCGGCCGTCGGCAGCACGATCGTGTCTTGCTCCTGAGAAGCAGGTGGATACATCCCGACGTCAGGTGGCGCCAATGGCTGCGGATCAATGGATGGAGGCGACGGAGCGATGTTAGGACGAGCTGGAGGCAACCTCGCGTCTTCGTCGGAAGCGGGAGACGACGGGCTGCTGACGGGACGCAGTGCGTTCTGTTCAGCTGGTTCCGTTTCGGGTGCGACGACGTTGACATTCGGCAGGTCCACGGCTGGAACGTTGGGCGCAGCATCGTCTACAGAGAGCGGTTCACCGGCGTCGTCTGCAGCGAGCGGTTCACCGGCGTTGTCCATGGCTAAGGTTCACGGGCCCTTGGTAAGCACACAGTGGTCTGCGGAACGCTCTAGACGCTCACCCAAGAGTTCTTTTACATGTTCAATGAACGGCCTAACATAAATCTCCCCGAAGTCCGGCACCGACATACTGAAGTCATCAGTATTCGAACCCTCTTCATGAAAGCTAAGTATGTTTCTCAATGAGTACATTGTTTCATCCTGTTAATCATTACGACCTACGCGATACTCGACACCCTCCCCTCGGCATCCAGCCCAGCCCCGACTGTGTAGAAGTACCATCCCGTGCGGCGTCGCAGCTCAGCAAACAGCTGTCGCATCACAGCAGGTAAGTTATCCACCGCCCTAAAGCATCGACGTCAGATATGATTGATCAGCTATGCACGTCAGGAACTTACGCCTGGCGATACACGGCGTTAACGGAGCTCGCAGGTGTTGCATCGTGCTCCTCGTTATCCCCGTCACCTCCCTCATCCCCGGACTCAGTGAGCTCCTGCTTTGCGGCGAGTACCTCGGCCTCAACCTCGGCCTTGATGTCGGGATCCTCGCCCTCGTACGTCTCGCGTGTGAGACGCTTGATAAGGTTCAGTCGTGCAGGTTTGTCGTAGTTCCCGGATTTGAGGGCATCATCGACCAGCGGCTTAACGCGATCCTTATAGTACTTGCGAGAGTAGACCTCTGTGGGTTGCAAGGCCCGTCGACCTCGGGGCTTCAAGATGCTTAGGTCGACACGAGCGGACTCCGCTTTGCGTGCTTTCTGACCATTTTTGTTATTGAACCAGTTGCGCAGTCGCTGATAATCAATACAGGTCAGCAGATGCATTCGACATCATCAAAACGTGCACTGCTAACTGACCTTTGCACGGTTCCCTATTGCCTTATCCAACGCGGACGCCTCGTCCTCCGTGAGCGGGCCGTGGAAATCTGGGTAGAGGGTGTTCCGCTCTGGGAAGACCTTGAACCACTCGCGGGCGACCTCGGGCCAGAAACGCGACAGAGTGCTGGCCTCGCGGTGTTGGCGGAACGAAGACCCCCAAGCCGACAACCATTCGAACTGTTCTTCGGTCGTCCAGCGCTGGGGAGCCATAGAGGTGAGATACAGTGCGTACAGCTCGAGTTCGTACTGACTCAAGTGCATTGACTCTGGCCACAGCAGTGATATATCATGTCTCCTCCGGGCTTTGTCCCCCAAAGTATGTGGTTAATTCAAAAATATTATTCTGCAATACGACACCCGTTGTTTCAGGTTTTCTGCGCGTGGGGCGGCACCACTACATTTTTGGACGAGATTGTGGCCGAGCAAGTCGGCATGGCACCTCACAGTGTTGATGCGCCGAAGCCCCGACTCATCGCCATGTGGAAGGCTCGGTCGCTTTCTGCTGCGGAATCGCTTCAGGTGAGTGTGCGCTCCACTGGATCTCGTTCCTCACTAGCGTAATCTGTGTTTAGCGAGGATCGACCCAAGACCGACCACTCGGATCGAAGCTCCCCCAAATCAAGTCGTGGGATGTGCGGTGCATGGTGCGCTACATGGCCAATTACATTGCTGATGCGATGGTATAAATCACCCGTCAATCTATGTGCTAGCCCCAGTACCGTCGATACCCCCACTCCTTTCGCAATGGCCGACAAGGGCAAGGGCACTGCGCGGGAGCCTCCTAATCCGTCACCGGCCTTCAACGTCGACATGCTGCAGCAGATGATCGCTGCTCTGCAACTCGTCGTCGACCGTGACGAAGGTGAGCTTCGTCTTCTTCGGGTTTGGCAAACTTGAACGTGACGGCTTTGTGTAGATCGGCGTTTGTGGGACGCAGTCGGGCCCACGCCTCCCGACCCCTCCAGTGAGTGACTTTCGTCGTCATTCCGCCTCTTTTCTAATATACTCTGCTCACAGTAAGCTCAGATTATGAGGAGATGGGGCCCACGGATAACCAGGTACAATCCGGTGCCAGCGTGCAGCAGAATCCTCTGCCGGCGTCCTCTCAACCCGCTCGCGATCCTGCAGCTTTCCCTGTGTCGCCGCCTTTGATTCCTCGCCCGGCTTCTCCAACGCCGCACGCTCAACCTCAACGTCCGCATGCTCGTGGTCCACCGTATGTCCGCCCGACTTCCCCTGTCAGTGTGGCGTCTTCAAGTTGCGATCACAGCGATGTTAACGACCATGGTGGTCGCTACGGCAATGACACGCACGACGGCCATGGTGAGTGCAGTGGACACTGCGGGCGCGGCGGACATGGCGGGCACGGATCAGGCGGTGGGCCCAGTAGTGGACACGGCGGGCACGGCAGACATGGCGGACACGGTGGACACGGCGGACACGGCGGGCGCGGTGGTGACAGTGGGCCTGGTGGGTGCGGTGGGTGCGGGAGGTGTGGAGGGCATGGCGAGCGTGATGCCCTAGGCCCTCGCGGTCAAGAGGGTTCTGGGCTTGGAGCTCGCTACTATGCCGTGACAAGGGGGCGCGCTGTGGGCGTCTTCGTTGGATGGTGCGTCGGTTCCCCTAGTGCTATGGTGTTTTACTCATTCGTTGATTGCAGGCACAACGTAACACCCCTTGTTACGAGAGTCCCCGATTCTGCGCAGGTGGGCTATCCCTCATTTGCGGCGGCGTTGGATGCGTTCCTTGACGCCGCTGCCTTGGGAAATGTCCGGATCATTCTGCCATAATTAGTTATGTAGTTCTGTCAAAGAATTGTCCGCACGTCTTCGCCCTCAGCCATTGTAGGAAATATATGATGTCTTGTTACGTTGCACACCTGAGTATTCTATTCGCACGGCTGACCTCCCTGCCAGTGCTTCTAAGCTCCACATGCTCGTGCGATCGGTTTCTGCCGGCTGCGGGCGATTATATAGCTTCCGCCGTTCATGTCGCGGTACTAGATCCTCCCTCTCTCGCGTCTCCTGCAGATAGCCGGGTATGGGTCGCCGGCCAAAGTATCTCACTGCCGATGAGAAACGCGCGGCAAAGCGGGAGCAGCAAGCCAACTACGCAAGCACAGTAAGGTTGGAATCACGTCCGTGCCTGTGATCAGATATGATACTGAAATGTACACATGGGTATCACAGCGGCCGCGCAAAACGGACCTCGCTGAAGCGCGTCGCCTATGCCACCCGCATCGGTCATTATGCGAGCCCATTTTGGAGGCAGATAGCCGGTATCCCTCCAAAGATTCAGGCCACGGCGCGCGCCCCATTTTGTACCCTCGCAACATCGTTGGACATACCGGATCTCGGCTTGTACATCGTGCCATACGTCCTCAGCTTGCCGACACCCTTGTTCTCCCCGCATCCTCCCATGGACCCCGATGAAGCCTTCTTTGCCCCGATCCCCGAGGACTCAGATGAGCCTACCGATGAGGAAATCCCTCTAGTGCTCAATTCTGGTCAATACCGTCGCTATCGGAGCGAGGGAAGCAGGCGATATGGAGAGTGGATGAATCAGAGTGTCGATGTCGAGCTTACTATCACCAATGCTACTAGGGAGCTCGAAGCGCGTATTGCTGGTTGGGAGAAGTCAACGGGCACAGAACAGCAGAACGACGCCGTGAAGAATGTTGCACGTACGATAGGCCTTGAATGGGCAAGTAGAATTATTTGCTGTCTTGCTGTGGAAGTAGAGTTGTTGAGAGTCGGACGTGATGCTTACCAGGCTGCATACATTAACGAATTGCTCCCATGGCAGTGTATGAATCGTGTAGTACGGTAGCATCGGACAGATGTAATTCAAACGTAGATGTTGGACGGACTCAGAAATGAAGTATGAGGATCAACTTCGAAGAGTTGTTGCCTGAGCTGTCACCGTCAGCGCATCCGAGCTCAAGTAGAGCTGTTAGGAATATCTAATCGAAGTGTCTAAGTCACGAAGTCTGTCAAGTGGCTAGCGCCGACACGTGACTAACGGCACGAATCTTCCTGTTTAGGAAAAGTCAATACTTGCCTACTTAAGACTTAAGTCAAGTGACTAAGGAAGATCGTGCCGGACCTCCGATCGACTTGACTAGACTCACCTGTCGTGACCGAACCAAGGCCGATCGATTCGGCTTTTGAACAATGAATACGCGGGCAGTCGACCGAGGATCTCAATAGGGCTATTGTTCACGTATGGAATATTCTAGGACACTTTGTAGATATATAAACGCTGTTGTAGAGTATAGACGAATAACACTCTCTTGAACTTCAATCTATCGGTGTGAGCCACTCGATCGTCCATAGCTCCGCGCTGGACATACTAAGGTCGATCGTACTTATAGCCGTGCGCTAAGTCGATCTACCTTGACCCCTTCATTAGTATAGCCTCGCGCTACTCTGAAGGGTTCGGTAAGAGTAAGCTTCATCGATCTACGGTTAGAGTCGGGTTCGTGTTTAGTGGCATCCTCAACTATTGTTGTAACGCTCTATTCACTAAAGTCGTAACCGACTTACTTTGCTCAACCAAGTTTCTTAGCTTCATTAAGAACGTAGGCACTACTGTGCCACTCCGGACTTAGTGCGTGAACTTGTTGAGCGAAATCGATTCTCGATCGACTAAACCTCATAAGTCGATCACTCAAATCGTTGTGTTAATCCTCTTCACAACGAGATAATCCTCAATTCATTTCTTAACTAAGGCGACTACGATTACGTAACTACCGACGGTTGTTACTAAGTAAGTACTCGGTAAGTTAGCAATCCCAGTCCATAACATTGGTGGACGTTGGGGGGTCCACTTTTATCAAACGAACATTCCGACTAACCTTTTTGCAAGCTCAAGATGGCTAACGCTAACGCTACTCCCGCAGGAAGCTCAGGCTTCGAGAATGTTGGAAATTCCGATGCATCGAAGCCAGACTCTGGTTCTCAATCGCCTGAGAAAGGCAAAGGGAAACAGAGACTCGACGAAGAACTATTCGCCGATCCGATTGTTTCGGGTCAACCGATCGACTTCTCCTCTTTGCCGGTCCACGAATTAATCGGTGGGCTTCCCCTCACCGAATTCGTTCCTTTTGCTGAAAAGATGAACTCTATTCACGCGCCGCTGACCGCCTCACCTTTATCCTACATGGAATCGCTCGATCTGGACATTGCGAAGAGGATTAAGGCTCGATCGATCGGTTTCTCTTACCTTCAGAGAGACTTGTACTCCCTACCAGCTCAGATTTCTATGGAAGGCTTCAAGCGAAAGGAAACTAGAGCTTGGAAAGAAATCTTTGATAAGCTGGATAGCTTCATTACGCTTCCTAGTGTTCTGTACAACGAGGACGGGCACGTCGTAGCTATCCGACCCGATGAGCACACTTACCTGTGGCTCAAACGAAAGCTCAGCAGTTACTTTTACAATGCTGCCGGACTTCTGAATGGTCAACTGTACGAAGTCCCGAACGTTCCCGTATTCGACAAAGACGGGCTCGATCCTAGTGTAGCATACACTCCGCATGACTACCAAATTCTCTGTGCATGCTACCGGGACGAGGTGGAGACCGTGCTAAAGTACTTCACTAGGATCGCAAAGATTTTTCCGTCTGGAGTCGAGGAGGAGGAAGAGGAAGCCCCTAAGCCTCCTGAACGACCTAAGGGAGCTGGTTCGTCGATTTCGCAAGCAGGAGGTGGTAAGAAAAGAGATCTACCGCCACACATTTCTAAATCGACTCGTCGCAACGAGCATAGTCGTGAAGCGGAGGAACGACGACCAGCTCGACCGACTCGACGGATGATCGACCCGATCACCAGAGTTCCAGGATTGCGATCACAAGCTCTCCCAAATCATGGCGACCGACGCCGGACTGGTCGCAGGTACACGGAGTTATTCGGCCGCGAACCGTCTCCTCCACCCTCTGACCCTTCAGATGATTCTTCGGACGACGAAGACGATCATCGCTCTCCTTCTCCCCCACGCCGACCTCATCACTCCCACCACCATGGAGGAGG